TGTCGAGGCAGGGGCCGAGGCCCGGGGAGTGGAGTCTTCACCCCGAGGTGGTGGAGCTCCTATGGGGACATTTCGGTCGTGCCGAGGTAGACCTATTTGCGTCCCGAGAGACATCACACTGTCCACTGTGGTTCTCTCTCAGCCAGCCAGCCCCACTGGGGTTGGATGCTATGGTACATCCGTGGCCGAGGTCACGCCTGTACGCTTTTCCCCCGATCGCTCTGCTCCCAGGAGTTCTGGAGAGGGTTCGCCGGGACGGGCTCAGTCTCCTGCTTATAGCCCCGTTCTGGCCGGCCCGAGTGTGGTTATCGGACCTAGTGTCTCTCCTCGACGGCTCTCCCCTAGAGATACCGATCAGGAGAGATCTGTTCTCTCAGGCAAGTGGGTCGATCCTTCACCCCCGTCCAGAGCTATGGAGGCTGTGGGCTTGGCCTCTGAGGGGGCCCAGCTCATAGATTCTGGTCTCTCGGCTGAGGTCGTTGAGACCATCCTCCAATCCAGAGCTCCCTCCACGAGGAAGTTATATGCCGCGAGGTGGAAACTTTTCACCTCTTGGTGTGGAGAGCGCCAGCAGGACCCAGTTAATTGCCCGGTTGGTACAGTGCTGGATTTCCTGCAGGACCGTCTCTCCACAGGGTTATCCCACTCCACACTGAAGGTGTATGTGGCGGCCTTAGCTGCTTACCACGCCCCTTCAAGTGGAGGTTCCCTCGGGAAACACCCACTTATATCTCGCTTCCTTCGTGGCACCCTGAGGCTGAGGCCTGCAGTTCGCACAAGGGTACCAGCTTGGGATCTGGCCATCGTCTTAGAAGGTCTCTCCCTTGCTCCTTTCGAGCCCATCGAGGAAGTTTCGGAAAAGTTTCTTACTCTTAAGACTATCCTTCTTCTTGCTATCTTATCTCTAAAAAGGATTGGTGATATTCAAGCACTTTCGGTGGCTCCCTCGTGCCTGGAATTTGCTCCTGGTATGGTTAAGGCCTTTCTCTGTCCGAGACCAGGTTATGTTCCTAAGGTGCCGACCACTTTGGTTAGACCTATAGTTCTGCAGGCTTTCTGTCCTCCGCCTTTTCTGACGTCAGACCAGAGGAAACTTAATTTGCTGTGCCCTGTTAGGGCTTTAGATGCGTATGTCCACAGAGCTGCTCTGTGGAGGAGATCGGAACAACTGTTTGTCTGTTTTGGGTCACCTAAGAGAGGGTGTCCTGCATCTAAGCAAAGGATGAGCAAGTGGGTGGTCGAGGCCATCTCGCTTGCTTACGGTTCGGCCCATCAGCCTTCACCTTTGGCTGTAAGGGCTCATTCCACCAGGAGTATGGCTGCCTCTACAGCTCTTCTTTCAGGAGCTTCTCTTCAGGACGTTTGTGATGCGGCAGGCTGGTCCTCACCGCACACTTTCGTCAGATTTTATTCCCTTGACCTTAGCTCCACTCCAGGGGCTCAGGTTCTCTCGTCGGTTTGTGTCTCCTGATGACACACGACGGGGATTTGGTCGTATGGGGATGTGGGTATTGCGTTCCCACTGCGATTACACGCAGCGGTAGTCCCTGAAGGGGAACGTCCCGGGTTACGTATGTAACCCTAGTTCCCCGAAGGGACGGACGCTGCGTGTCCTGCCATACTCTCGGCATCCCCTTGGGTCGCTGCTTCAGTAACTTTTAAGCTGGCATGTTGTGTGCTTAGGGGATATTTATAGCTTCCTGGTCTATGACGTCACTCGCCGTACGCTCATTCTCTCCATTGACTGATTTCATTCATGCTTCAGACGCGTCACGCTGGGGCGTTCCCACTGCGATTACACGCAGCGTCCGTCCCTTCGGGGAACTAGGGTTACATACGTAACCCGGGACGTTTTGCTTACAGTGATTCCACTCATAGCCTACAAAAGAACCAAAGGAGTAAACTCAAGATGAAACTTTTGAGGATGTGAATTTTCCAGTTGGCTATACACAGTAGAAGAACTGAATATGTCATTACAGCAAAGGCAGTTTCTCACACTGTCATCATGCAAGCCATAACATATCTCACTGATAAAGCTTGATTGTGCGTCCTGGCGTTTCAGATTAGTGCCCCGTTGATATTGTCATAGCCTGCTTGTATTTATAGCCTATATGACCTGTGCTGGCGATCCGAAAGTTGGATCCAGATCTAAGGGGTGGAGATGGGTAGGATTAGGGGTGGGGTTAGGGATCAGGGGGCGGATCAGGGGGAGGAGTTGGATCCAGATCCAACTCCTCCCCCTGGATTTTGTGTTCTGCATGAGGACCATCTCACTGACTGACAGCCGAAGCATGCACAAAGACGGCTCAGACAACGCGCAATCCCGATACAGTAGCCTACTGTAACAGAATTAGAGTATTTCAAAATATCTGCCTTCGCGACAATTAACGCAAACATGATCTGTTTTGTCTTAAATAAACGTTTGGTTAACTTTTGGGTTAAATCATCTGATGTGTGTAACATATTATATTTGTGCGGTAGGCCTACTGTAGGTCTGAATATATATATATATATATATATGTGCTGTCTGTTAAATAAAATATTAAAATAAATAAATAAAAATCAAAAAATTGTAGTATTGTCAGGTTGGCTGGGTGCAGGTAGCCGAAGACATGAGAACTTCAATATAGTTGATTTATTAACAAAACTCAACTTACAGAAATAAACAGGAACAAAAGAACAAATGCCAGGACTTCAGAGAACATACATCGACGACGACCAACAAACACTGAGAGAAAACACAGGGCTTAAATGAACAGGGACTAATGGGATAATTAACAGAACACAGGTGAAGGGAATTACTAATTAGACAGAGCGGGAAAACTAACAGGACTGAACCAAAATCACAAAAGACGGGGGAAACAAGATCTCAAAACTGAACTAATAACAGGACTAAACCAAAATCACACATACAGGGGGAAATCAGATTACAAAACAGAACTTAAACACATTGAAACATGACAAGTATCATGATGGGAAAATAAAGTTGAATATATATTTTTCCTATAGATATTTGGTTTTGACTTGGTTTGTGCCAAATTTGGTGTTGTGGGATTTTAAGGTATGGTTGCTAAGGTGATTTTGTTTTGGAACCTTCAGAAAACTTTAACTTGATTTTTCTCAAAATTGACTTTGCTGACTCTGCCGACTTCAAACAGGTGTAGCTCAGTAATTTTTTCCCAATAACTAATTTGTGAAAATTTGCTCATTCCGACTCCTTTTGCCAGCACGAGTCACATATCTCTGTTCAATTATGGGATTCACTACATGCAGTGTACCTTGAAATCAGTCTTAATTTGCCTGTGGGTATGTGGGTGGGTGATTTTAGCACTTCATCAGCTTGCAGTGTTGGGGGTGGAACTAGTGACAGTCTGGTGCCGCAACGTCAATATGCTTTCTCAGATTGTTGCCCGTTTAACCGACTGTGATATGGATTGTATGGGGCTGTCTCTTCTCTATAGACCTCCTCTCTGATTTCCTGCACAAGCACTTACATCTTACACTTGATGCTTGAAGTGATTTAGTGGTCGCTTCTTCCTGTCATTCCGGCATAAATTACTTAAGTCTGTGCAGCGAAAATCATTACATTCAATGCTTGAAGCGAGTCTGGTGTAAAAAGAGAAGCAACCTCTCTCTTCTTAAAAATCTATTTTCTGATTGATTATAGCCTACCGAAGTCACTGACCACCTACCCACCCTCTCTACCTAGTCAGCACATGGAGCAACCCCAACCCCCTTTTCCCTATTGGGAAAATGTCAAACTGACCTTGCTTTATTCCCTTCTCTGGTTTGGACTATATCTACGTAATGAAACAGCATTGGATTTCCATGTTTCCATGTCTAAATCATAATTATAGGCATACAGCTGTTATGTCAATGTTTTATAGAGATGCAAAAAAAAACTCACCTTCAACTAATGGTGTATTTTCATAATTTCTACCCCAGCTGACTGCAGTATTTTGTTTGTTTGTTTGTTTGTTTTTGTCCCATGTGAGCACTGTTGTTAATTACAAGCCATTTCCCACTCTCACTAATTGTCTTTTTTGTATGATTTGGGCATACATAATTCTCTGCAGTAGAGATTTAAAAAAAAAAAAAAAATTACTAGAGAAAAGGAGGTACTGCCATCTGCCATTAAAGGAGTGAGAAAAACATTTAATGTTTTCTGAAATTGCTGTAGTCATTTTGACCTGGGCACTGAGATTTTAATAGAGAATGCCATGAAATATGTGAATAAATTAAAGGAAATAATCCATTCATTTTGTAGAGGTGCCATTCATTCTGACTTATTAAAAATTATGCCACACATGGAATAATCTTTTTGTTGTCGCAAGAATTTGTAGCTAGTTTTATTTTTCATGCTTGAGTCAAATACTCCACATTTTATGCATTGCTTTATGGATAAAAGGTGTAAATGTAAATGCACACCTTTTTACTTTACTTTGTTTACAGAAGTGGTGGGTGCCTTTAAGCTGTTTTATATTCATTGAAAACTGCAATGAAACAACAAACAGCCATTCTTTCCTTCAATAAAATAAGAATGATTTTTGCTTTAGAATTGTTAATCAGGAAAACTAACCTTTAATAAAATAAGATTGAAGTGTTACTTGAGATACAAAAAATAGACTTTAAATTTAAAGAATTTAAACCCTAAATATTTATATCTAAATAAATGCAAATCTAGTAAATGTTGTAACAGAAATTTAACAACCCATTTGGAATGGTTTGTGCTGATGCTCTCTCTGCACTGTGTTAACACAATTGTATGTCTTATCTTCTGTGCAGGTTTGGCACCAGATGAATGACCAAGGCATTTCAAGGTCCTGAAAGCTGATATGATTTCATCAAGTGCATTGCCCTGTTGAGAAGCAAACAAATACAGCTCTGTCCTTTGGCGGTATCTTATAGTAGAAATGGAAATAATGTGAGATGATGTTGTGATTCTGCACTCCATCCAAACGGCAAAATTTGAAGGACAAGGTGAAGGCAAGTGAGGGAACACAAGTGAGGGAACAAGACCTTTGATGGATCCAGGATTACCGTGGAGCTTTTGAGAGAGAAGCTCAGACTGATACAACATGAATGTGCAAGAAAATATACAAGCCGGTGAAGACAACCAACAAGGAGAAATACAGAATGACGACGGGCATCCTTTGCTAGAAACTGTGGAAGACGCCAATGCCAATCAAATCACCAAAGAGAAAAATCATTCAAATAACAGAGAGCATGGCAGCCCACTACCCCCTCTTGTATCACACTCTGAAGCCCAGGAGAGGATCATTATCTGGGGAACACATGCTCAGAGTGAAGACCCTGAGCTGGAAGAGTTTGAACTGCTTGAGTGTCAAGAGTTAGAAACATTTATTGTGGAAAAAGAAGGGATAGACATGTCAAGTGTGAGAAGGAGAAAGAGAGCAAAGAACCTCTGTGACAGGACATTGACATCCACATCTGTCAGCGCTACTGTTGGATCCCCTTGGAAAGACCACAATGAAAACCACAGTGTGGATGGAGATGCAAATGAGAACTCACAGCCCCTTGACCTCAGGACCTCTAGCTCTCGCTCTGGGGTAAACAGGACCCTGAGAGAAGCACGAAGTGGTTCTGAAAGCAACGTTTTTTCATCTTCTCTTTCTGCAGTGACCAATCTCAGTGGAAGTTTAGCCAGTGCCCTGGACAGTGCAGGCCGCACACAGCCTCTCTGTTCCCAGTCCATCAAGTCTACCTCAGGCATAGGCAGGAACCAGCAACCATCCTACATCCACTCAGCGAGAAACAGGGAGCTTCCCAGGGATTTGGACCAAAACCATAACTCTACTACACTGCCTCAGGAATCACAATATGACCGAAGTAAGCTGATCACTCAAAGTGGAGTGTATCCTTCAAATGGAGCACTAAAAGTGCAAAAATTCCCAATGGAAGCAGAGCAGAATGGCAGGCAAGGGATGTCAACCGAGGTGCCGAAAGGTATGGTGAGGGTGCTACCTTCTTGTAGGCAGCTAGTCCGCCCTCTTTCTACTGAAAAACAAATAACCTCAGGATATCCCAGCTTAGACACCCAGGCAGACCAGCAACAATCCCACTCCTCAGAGACAGATCACAGCCATCAACAAGTGCTGCCGACTACAGAAGTCTGCAGTAAGAACACAAGCACAGAAATGCTTCCAAACCAGACTTTCACCCGAGAGTCCCAACACTTGAAGAGGCAGAGCTCAGCAGATCGTGCTGTAAGTCCCTCCAGCCTAGAAAGGAAGACTCACTTCAGTCGGCGGACCTACAGCAGTCCCACTAGACCTTCGACACCTCCATCCCCCAAGACCACAATGTCTCCTCAAAGACAGCCTTCATCCTCACCCATCAAGACTTTACCTTCTCGAGCTCCTCAGTTGGGTTATGCTGGGTACAGCTCAGGCTTAAGAGCCCCAGTCAAAACAACTATCAACACAAGCATCCATAAACCTCCTCCAACAATGGAGGCTTCAATGGAGACCTCCCCTCCAAGCAAGTGCCCGCCAAAACCGAAAAGTGTCCGACCCAAAATCATCACGTACATTCGAAAGACCCCGCAGGTGAAACCACAGTCTCTTGAAGGAACTTACGAGGTGTCATCCTTACCTACGAGACTATCAACGTACAGCAACACACAGGCCAAACCAGCGGTAGGAGAACAAGGGGAAGCCGCTGTGCTGAGTGCCTCAAATTTACTCTACGATAAGTATCGACAAGAGATGCAGAAGGTTCGGTTCTTCTCTCCTGGACTCATGGTGTCTGGGATTAAGCCACCCAGCAACACCATGCCCCAAAAAATGGCAGGCCGAGCAGACAGCTTCTATGGTTCTCTTAACAAGCCTCTATCTGCAGCTGTAAGGAATGCACTAGACATTTAACAATATGCTGTTCTTTAACTAAATACTTTTATGTCCATTTCTTGGTAAATCTAATTACATGTAAAAATCTATTACATGATTAGATTGGTGAAACCGTGAGTACTTTGATAATGAAATAGTGTGCTGTAGAGTATTTAACAGACTACTTCCTGAATTTTTTATGGAGGGAATGTCAATATTTTATAAGTTTTTAAAATGTAACACTTGTTATCTTCAGTAGATGAGTTTATGTACTACTGGAAGAGTTCATTGACTGCAGCTGCAACGTGTGGTAATGTAATGTTTTTTGTTTAGGTGGGCAGGTCTCCAGTCACCCTTGGATCTCCTGTATCTGGAGCTGAGGATCCTTCCGGCCCCCTTTTTCGTCCACCACGGGGCCTAAGACCCCAGCTTGGCGTTGGTGCTGTAAACAGGACTCCCTTTGCAGCTGCGAAGAACAGGATGGTCCAAACAGGCCACCCAAAGTCACCATTGACCTTCAGTCAACCAATGCAGGCAGTAAACCCGACCACTCAAACCCCTCAGGAACCACAAGGTAAGACGATGACAATGGTTTACTTTTCAAGGCAAAATGAGTTAAGACTTGGCTTTTATACAATTCACACAGATTTTTAGTAGTAAAACTGAATCCCTTACATGCCACACTGGTGTAAGTTCAGTAGAAACCCATGCCAAAGTAGTCATAGAAACTTTATTTGATTGATAGAAACACCAAGGCTTTCATGCTAAGGGTGGAAGTGACTCTGGAGTATTTTGAGATGAATAGATTTAAATAGAAAGAAGGAAGATAACACCATAAGTCTTCTCATCCCTGTCAGCTATGCATTTGTAATTGTTACAGATAAACTCATCCCAGCCTCTAGTCAGTGTAAAATACACTTTACCTCCTGGCATTCAGTTAAATATAAATAAAATTCACATTCATCTTGTGCCATGAGGGAGTTCTGTCTGAGCTTAAAAGTTCCTTACCGTTTCTAAAGCACACTTCATTTCCGACAACTTTGCCTGCCAAGGTGAAGATATGAATTATTTCATCTTTAAACCACTACCAGCACTGCCATCATCCTACGTGTTTTTTTCTAGAGGGCATCTGTCTATCTGCATACCGTTATCTCACAGCAAACCCATGACAGTCTCCATTAATGCGGATGCCGATTTCTTGCTGCTTGGCCCTGTTTGTGATGCTTTGAAGTGCAAAAGAAATAAACAATTAAGTCATGCCAATATTTGTAACTACGTCTGGTCACAATTTATAGATGTATTTGAAACATTATATGATTTTTATGATGTAAGGATGCTACAGTAAAGTAGATAAAGACACAGGCTTGTGGTACAGAGTTTTACTCTGATAGTTTGACCTCTGAAATGGTATAAAATATGTCAAGAGAAAGGTTCTCCTAAAGAGAGATTATTATTATTATTATTATTATAGAGAAACTACTATCCTAACAGTTTGTATTACACTCTTCTGGTATGACTTTCAAAATTGCTTGTCTGATTGCTCTGAAGTTGGTAATGTTGTGGCAAAAATTCATCTCAAGCAAACATCACTGCGTAAGAGACACTCAGAGTCAAATTATATAAAATAGAAGTATTTATTTTCGCAAGAATAGGAGCAGTCTAATACACAGTTGTTACCCTGTGCAGAAGAGTGACACACCCCCAGACAGACTGAACTAGCTTTTATCTTAGTTTCAAGGCCTTCTTCCCCCCAGAGCCTTCCTCCCAGTAGTTTTCCATAGACGTCACTAGTTGGCCCATAAGCCCCCCTGCACCAAAATGGCCTTCTGACATCTAGGTCAGAGGTCCTTGTTCGTCTGTTCTCTGGAGTGTCTCCCTCTTCTGCCTCCCCAGGTACATAAACAGAATCTTCTCTCACTACAAGTGAGACACACATGTGACATTCTTTGAATCATCTATATTTTACACATTGAATAGGTTCTCTCTCTTATGATATCTGTTAGGGATCAATGACTATTAAAATTTCCACAACAAATTCCCGCTTTTTATCATTCTGATTACCCATAATCATAACAATAAACAATAAGACAAATTCTAAGTCATATCATCACACTTATACTCTCCATCTCTGATTTTTGCATAAATGATCACTCTCCTTGAACCTGTGAAGAAAAGTTTAGAATGAAGAAGCATAAGGCTGTTTTTGTGGGGGAAAGGCCCCGTAATATTTTAGCTAGCAAGTAAACATTTTTACGGTGCCGGGCTAAGCGAGAAATCTCTGTTCCTGCGCTCCTGTAAACAGACCCTCAGTCACGCCAGTAAGGAAAAAGGTAGTTATAACATAGTAAGGAAACAAACAGAAAAACTATAATAAAAAATCCCTCAGTTTCAACCCCTATCTTTGTACGCCATCTCGTAACACGGATGACCGCTGCTTGTAACCTTCTTTAAATCTTTTGCCCTTAATCTTTCTCAGAAAATAAACAAATAGAAGAAAAACAAACAGAACATACATTTAACACATATCTCACTGTAGCTCCCGCTACATGTATCGTCACATAATTTTGTTCATCCTTGGGATAGACTGTCATTTTCACCAATTGAACAGACAGCATGTTTCACCTGTCACTGTAATCATATTCACCCATGAATAACAAAATTATTAGAATAACAATCCTAACTCCTATCATTAAGCCTTTTCCATTATTCTACGCCCATCTCCATATTTCACCTCGGTTTTCCTAACCATATTTTGTTCACTTCTAATTCAATTTTGTAAGCTCTATTTAATGCCATATTTAACAAAATCTAACCAGAGAAGTCTTATAATTTTATCCATTCTTCTAACCAATGCAGTTGTTCAATATTAACTCTAATATTTCCATTACGGACACAATCAATATATTTTCTACATTTACAATCAAATCAAGAACAACCTTGTTTGATTCAATCAAACAAAATCATCACAAAAACAGATTCTTCTGTTAAACTTAAACCATCAGTTGTGTTGATCATCTCGTTCGCCCCACGGACGTTCCGTGTTCTTTTACCTTTAACTTTTAATTCAAACATGCTGTGGTTCTACTTAATAAGCTTCAACAATTATCCCTATAATTTACATTAATTAATAGATCTTCTCTTCCCAAAAACATTTTCCTTAAATATTTCCTAATGAATAAGTAACCAATCAAATCTTTTGATCTACTGTATATCAATACTAAGCCCTATTTTGATTTAATCAAATAAATCCTCAAAATAATCACAAAACGACATTCTTAAACCATTAGTTGGTTCACATCCTCCTCCAGGCGTGTTGATCATCTCGTTCGCCCCATGGACTATGGGATGATTGTGGCCTGTTGGTGTTGTCTAAGGTGAGAGGCTTGGACCCAGGTGACACACTGATCTCCTGAGATCACCACCGCACCCCCACTGGAATGAACCATTTCCTGCTTCCCGTCACCTGTGAATGGAGACCTTAAGTATTTTGTTAGTGACCGCTTGTCTTGCCGCTCGTCCCCTTTGGTGTGACCTGTGGATTCAACAATCTGAAACATTATCACCGGATAATTTCTTGCTCACTTAATAGCACTCAGTCCTTTTCCCCTGAAAAACACATATCCACTTTGCTTACGTTAACAAGTCAATATTCATACATTTGGAAACACAATCAGTTCAGCTTGATGCAATCCATCCTGACATTCTGTAAAAGGAAAATTTTAAGTTATGCGCTGCGCAGGTGTAGCACCTTTCTTCCACAATAATAACCCAGGCCAGGACAGTTAGCCAAATTCATCCATAATCCATAAATTCATCCTGTCTCCCAATCCTGCATGCTCTCTGTAAAGAGAAACAAATTTCGAGGTTATTGTCAGATAGTAAAGTACGTAGTTTCTTTTGTCTACTGTTCTCCCGTGTCCTTCGATGCCCTGGCGTTTCCTGTTGAAACAATCTTTGTTATTGGTGTGTGCAGCACACTCACAGACATAAATTTTGTTAGGCAGAAAAATGGCTTCTTTCAGGGCTTTTATCCAATTACCCCTAGTGTTCTCCCAACATTTATTCAGCAAATGTGAACCCCTTAATAAACCATATTTGGCAATTGTTATACCATCCCCCTTTTGATGCACGACACAACTCGAGCATCAATTTAACATAACATTTAACATAGTGTTTTTGATAAAGTTTGCCATCAACACTAATCCAAACATTGTCCTTCAGACAAATTTCCTCCAGACATCTTTCCCTGTCTCTGAAACAAAAATATTACATTCTTCACTTAAAGCCACAATCTCATCTTCTTCTCGCAGTATTTGAAGGGCAATGGCCCTGAGTCTCACAGCAAATCCCGCTTTTCAGGCCTGTTGTTTGGTCTCTCAAGTCAGTCATCTACAAACATTTCCAAAGTCATCAATTGTTTCTATCAGGTCAGGTCATGCTGTACAGACTTGGTCATTGTCAGTCAATCATTTCTCCCCCTTTGTTCACAATAATCATAAATGTGAGAGGCTCTCTTGATAATTTCATGTTGACTTAGCCAATATGTCACTTTGTTGTTTCCCTCAAATCTACAACATTTTCATTTATCTCAGCCCATGCCAGATGGTGATCTACAACTACACAATTCCAATTTACTTAAACTGATCTTCAAATCTACATTATGTATGACAAAAGTATTACTACCAGACAGAGCTTGATGGCCAATCAACTTAAAGCTTGTCCCATGTTCTGTATTGTCTTTTCATCAGAATTATCAGCTTCTTTAAAATTTGTCATTTGCCTTAACCCATCTGTAATGATAAACTCATTCCAGAGGTTAATGACGCAATATACACAGCATTCAGGCGGAATATTAGTGCCCCAAACTAATACATACAAGACATAAAGTGCTGTCACCATCACACACACTCGTACTAGACACACATATGTTAACTGTTCATTTTCAATATTCATTTTTCTTTATATTATTGCTAAAAGATTTAAATTTTAAATAAGATTTTAAACCTTTTCATTTTCCTGTAGCATCTACCTAATTTTACATGGTCTCCCAACCAGTTTCAAAGCATGTCTTGTTCATTATTCATTAGAATTTAACAAGTCAGCTGGGTTGTTTTGTTTCATTATCATTATTTTGCTTCAGCTTGCTCTAGCAGGCCGATAACAGAAAGACAGACACAGTTACCATCCCTTCCTCCAACTCAGGCAGTCTCTCTCACTATAAACAAATAATATTTCCCCCCCCCCAGCCTCCTAAGGCTGTAACTTAGACAAAATTTGTATTCATTACAATAACCTTTGACCATTCACCTTTGTTATCCAGACTTTTCTCAAATCTACAAAAGCTGTCTTCATCTTTAGCCACCACCATGTCTAACGACCTTCAAGAGTTAAAACTATGTTATAACATATTAGTTCAAAATCAACACTATGATTTTCCTTGCCCATAAGGCAACCAGTACATAAAAAAAAATGTATTACTGTCTCCACAACAACTAATGGGAATCACTTCATGGCCTCAGCTGGCTCTTGAAAGCCCACTCCTGTTCGCCCTTTATCTATAATCTCCATCAGGGT